CCCTGGACGCCTCCCTGGACCAGTACGTGCAGATCCGCATCTTCAAGATCATCGTGATCGGCGACTCCAACGTGGGCAAGACTTGCCTGACCTTCCGCTTCTGCGGCGGCACCTTCCCCGACAAGACCGAAGCCACCATCGGCGTGGACTTCCGCGAGAAGACTGTGGAGATCGAGGGCGAGAAGATCAAGGTGAGCGGCGCGGGGCGGCCGGGCTGGGAAGGACGCGGCGGGCAGCCGGGGGCGGGGCAGCCACGGCCGAGGGCGTCGAGGATGGAGGCTGGGGGCGGCCCCAGGGCATCCCCACGGGTGCGGGGCAGATCCGCAGAGGCGCTGGAAGGGTGGGGATGGAGAGCTCTGTGGGCAGTCGGGGTCTCTTCCCCTGGGCCCTGGGGGCCGAGGGCATCCCTACAGCAGCACGGGGCAGTGGTGGGCTAGTGGAGCAGCACCAGGACAGGCATGGGGTGCTGTGAAGCACTGAGGCTTGGAGGGGCAAAGTACTGTGGCTTTGAGAGGGTCTGGATGAAGCAGCATTGGGGACCAGAAGGGGTGAGGGCTGTTGGGATGGGAAAGGAGGGAAGTATGGGGGCATGGGAAGGATCATGGAGATGAAGGCATTGATTTGGGACCCCAGAGAATGATAGGGTGATGTGGTCCAAGGGCTCTGTTGGAGAAGGGAGTGAGAGAGGCCAACTGTGCTTTTGGAAGAGTGCAAGGTTTTGGGGGCAAGACTGGTACAGCAGGTATGCAGACATTTGCATAGTACAATGGGAAGCTATGTGGGAATGGGGGTGGGAGTGGTGGGTAGATACAAGGACTGTGGGAATGGCAGGCCACTGAGGGCATTGAGCCATGGTTTATGAGGGTATTGTGGGGAGTGACTGCCATGAGCAGGGACTCTGGGAGTATGAGGTGGTTCAAGATCTTTGTGGAGGAGGGGGTTGATTTGTCAAAAATGTTCTTGAAAGATAAACTGTGCCCAGATTGAGCAATCAGTGCCAGGCAGCTGCCTGGAGGAAGGGAAGATCTGCTTCAGGTCCAGAACCCAGGGCACCTGTTGCTCTGCCCTTGCAAGTGGTGGGGCTGAGGCTTTACACAGCTGTAACCTAAGCCCAGTAAGATGGATGCAGAGCAGTGGCTTGTGACTTTTGACTTCTTGCTATGACTGTCAACAGCGGTAAGTGATCCAGTGCAGGGTTGGTTGCAAATATATGTACATGTGACTGGCAACCCATGGAATGCTCCTGCTTTTGCCAGTTTATAATGACTAGATTAATTTGACAGTGTAGCTTGTGGTCTTGTGCTGCTTCTTTGCAGCTGTTCAGAAATCTGCAACAGAAACTTTCTTAATCCAGGTGGTGGAAAACTTCAGTATGGTCAGTTGTTTCCTTTTGCTGTCGGCGCTAGAACTTCTTGGTACGAGGTGATGACATACAATATGGCAACTGCAGATGTTCCCAGATCGGAGAGCTGAAGACGCCCAGAGGCAAAAGATCCAATTTCTGTTTTTTGAGCCTTTAGGTTCCACTTGCATGATCTTACGTTCTTTTCCACACCCAGAAGGCCTAGATTCTTTTTTTTTTTTTTTTTTTTTTTCCATGAGAAAATGCGATTCCCTGTAACTTGTGAGAGTCAGAGTGGGGCTTCAAGAAAACTATCATGCATGTATTGTGAGACTCGTGTTAAAATGGCAGCCTTGTTGCCAACATTGCAAACCCTGAGGCTCTGCCCAAATTCCATGGGTCTTCTGCCAGATTGTACCAAAATGACTGAAGGTTTTCCTGTCTTCCTGCTTCCCTTGGCACTAAGTCAATGATTAGCCAGTGCAAACATCAGGATTGGATTGTTGGTGTCGGGCCCCCTTGCCTGGCATCCAGATTAACCAGCATAGTGTATGGATGTGTGGCCCCAAGTCACATTAGCATTTTGCAGGATCTCAGATTCACTTGTCTTTTGTTTAGAAAAACAGGGGAGGGGGAGTAGCAAGAGTTCTCTGCTCATGTTTGCAAGGAATCTTTGTAATGTGACCAGAGTGCAATAGATGCAGGGATGCTTGCTTGAATCTGTAGAGGGAACCTGATGTGGCAGTTGGGAGTGGACTCCCCTTGCCCCTGTTCTCTTTAGTATTCACTGTAAAGACTAGCATTGATTTGACAGTAGGCCACTGCATTTGCACCCCCCACCCCAAGTTGGCACCTGGGGCAGTTGCTCCATTCATCCTGCCCTAGCTATGCCATTGCTAGGTACTGTCGCACTTGAAGCTGGGTCCTTGCCTTGGTTGGTGCATGGGATAGATAGGAGACTAGAGCCCAGTACTTCCAGCCTGGTCCCAAAGCCATCTGGATCATGCTGCTCTCAACACACAACCCTGTGGTTATGCCCATGGCTAAAAAGCTGGATGCTGGGCTTAGTCCTTTTGCAGCAAGTTGCCTGTAGATGCTCTAGGAGATCCTGGTCAATGAGGTAGGAGTAACAGTATAATCTATCTACAGAGCTGTTGCACTCTGACTTTCTACCAGCTCTTTTGCTCTGAACTTTGCCAGTGTGTGAGACTTAATGCAGTTTCAGGGTAGCATTACCCTTGCTGTGTGATTCACAGTGGCCCTGTCAGTGTGGGAAGCATCAAAGCTTCACGTTGCTGTACCAGACTGGGCTAAAGTCAAAGTTGAGCCTTGATCAAACAAAGGTTTTAAAGAGAACTGGCAGGCAAAAACATCCTGTGACCAATTTTGAGGCTATTTAAAATCTCTTCTTATCCTCATGCAGAACAAAAATGACCTTTGGACATATCCTGGGAAACAAATTAATGCCCCTCCTCCCTGAAGAATAGCCAGTAACCCTATGGTTGGGGCACTTGCCTGGGATGTGAGAAACCTGGGTTCTGGTTGACTGGTCTCTTCTGTTGACTCTGAGGAGGGACTTGAACATGTGAGTGTCCTAACTTGTAGGCTAGGTTTGGCTTTGGTCATGTTCCTCTCTCTCTCGTTTTGACTACAAATATAGTCCCTGTGTCTGTCTCCCTCCCTGCTTCCCCCCCCCCCCCCCCCCCCTCACCAACGTGGCCCCATGCTCCCCGTCTGCTGATGCAGCTGGAAGCCACGTGGTGCATGAGTAGGGCATGGGCAGGAAGTGTGTGAAATGGCTGGGGGTGTGGTGGGGCTGGTCTGGACTGCTCTGACCTACTGAGGGCTCCCCCTGGGTCCTACTACCCTATGTCCTTAAGCTTTGACAGGCAGCCAGGAGCAAATACCTAAAAAAAAAAAAAAAATTAGTCATTTAATATTTATTTTGCCTGCCCCTGAGGTATTATCTGCAGGGGTCAGGAAGGAGTTTTAATATTGCTTTCTGGGGTCTTAATGCACCATTGAACAACTAACTAGTTGCACCATAAGGGGCTTTTTGTTTTTTGCCTCTCATTAAATGGGATGCTGAAATAGATGGACCCAGTGGCCTGATCTGATGTGGAAATGCATCCAAAGTGCCAGCTGGTCTCTGCCCATCAATGCTGTGGTAAAAATAGTAGCAGAAGGTATTGGGGAAAGGAGACGTTTTAGCTTAGTATTTTCCATGAGCTGCAGGAAGGATTCACAGCAGAGGCGTTTGAATCCCAGACAAGCACTTTACCTGGACCAAGTCATTAAGCTGGGGGCTGAGATGTTTCCAGCCAAGCACATGAGGACTGGGTTAAGTCAAATGCCACCCAGGGAAAGACTTTTATTGAAATACTAGTGGAAGTACCCATTCTTCACCCAGGTTATTTTTCCTCTCACTGTTTTTTCATTACTTTGTCACTCTTGTACCTGCATGCATCTTAGACAATTTTCTGCGAGATGTTCCACTTTTTCAACATTAGTTTCTCTAGCTCTTGAGGCAGTAGTTCTTATGCAATTACTAGCAAGATGCTGCACTGTTTCCTCCTTAGTTTCTGCAGTTCTTGAGACAGTATTTCTTGCATGAGTAGCAGCAAGACAGTCTGCTCTTTCTTTACTTTTGCCTGGTCTTGAAGCAGCATTCCTTCTACAGTTATGTGAAAGATATACATAACTTTCTTGCAGTCTTATATTTCATGTCCTTTTTGCAGCTGAAGTGTCACTAGGAGTTGAAGTCCTTTGCCTTGGCATTTTCTGCATTATCCTTTATGTAGAGCAAATTGATTAACGAGGCGGGGGAGAGGAGGAAAAGAAACCATGAACCAGTGGCCAGATAGCTAGGGTTGTCAAAGGACGGAAGCGGGGCCCCCCTGCTCCCTTTGGGCCAGGGCCAGCATAGCCACTGGTAACCCCCCATCCGCTTCCTGCTCCCCTCCCTGTCGGCTGTTGTTGGGTGGAGGGAGGGGGCCCTGGCTCCAATAAGCAGACCTGGAGGGGCAAGGTCAGCACCACTGGCCTTGCCTCCCTGCTCCGTCCCCTCCATTATGGTGGTGCTTTGGTCCCTGCTGTCCCCCTCTGCCTCCAAAGAGCAGCAGTGGGTGGCGAGGCCAGCTCCCCACCCCTTTGGCCCTTCAGTCCCCGCTGTCATAGCAGCACTCCACTGTCTGTTGCTGTCTGTGTAGAGCATTCTGATTGATTGGCTGCTGAGACAGCCAATCAGAGTGCGAATAAAGTGTTACAGACAAAGGCTTTTATAATTTTAGATGTATAGATGATAGAGGCAGTTGGATCTGCTGAGATGAACAAGGCTCCACATGAGTAGTTACACTTCACTGTTGTTGAAATAAGGTTAATCTATTAAGAATGACAAACTAGAAATAAACACTGGTGCTTCTGACCCCAGCTTCTCTCTCTCTGAGGAACTGATTCCCTCCAATGTCCCAAGCCATAATTAAGGGCGGGGGGTGTATATAGACAGAAGAGTGGGAACAAACCATTCTCCTGCCCCTCCCATTTTTGCTACTTCATGAACACCATACTTTGTGTTCTAGGTGCAGGTCTGGGACACAGCTGGTCAGGAGCGGTTCCGGAAGAGCATGGTTGAACACTACTATCGCAATGTGCATGCTGTTGTCTTTGTCTATGATGTGACTAAAATGACTTCCTTCACCAACCTCAAGACATGGATTGAAGAGTGCAATGGGCATGCTGTGCCCCCTCTCGTCCCCAAGGTGCTTGTTGGGAACAAATGTGACTTAAGAGAACAAATTCAGGTGCCGTCCAATGTGGCCCTGAAATTTGCTGATGCCCACAACATGCTTTTGTTTGAAACCTCAGCCAAGGACCCTAAAGAGAGTCAAAATGTGGAGTCAATTTTCATGTGCCTGGCTTGCCGATTGAAGGCTCAAAAGTCCCTGCTTTATCGAGATATGGAGAGGCAACAGGGAAGGGTGCAGAAACTGGAGCTCAGACAAGATGATAACAGCAAAAATTCTTGTCCTTGCTGAACAAAGGCCGTAAATTCTAGATGGATATTATGGGAGGAAGGGTTTTGTGCCTGTGTAAAACTAATATTTGCTTGTTTCAACATAAATATTAACAATAAAATTTGTAACAATGACTCCTGTTTTGGGACTTGTTTGCCCATAAGTTGGGAATTCAAAGAAACTACATGCTTGTAGAAGTGGGTTCTGGCCTGGGATTAGGACTATCAGTATAGTGTCAGCCAGCGGCTCCTCTGACCATGTAAGACATTAATTTTACATAGTTCAAAGGGTGCATTCCTGTCATGTCATGGGATTCAGTCTCTGAGAGCTGTAGTAGAGGCAGCCACCCTGCTATCCTAAAATGGGCCCTTCTGCCTCAGCTGAGGGCTCCCTTTTCTCCTGGATGAGTTAATTTTGTGTTCAGTGCCCAGAGAGGAGACATCTGCTGTAGTTCTTTCTAATCAACATTCCCTCTGTATTTTGAAACTGTAGGATTCCTCTTCACTTCCTGTCCTACATTGTTCTGTACCATTGCTGATAAACAGCTGCCACATTCCAAGCTAGAGGTGGTTACCCTGCAATGGTAGAGTGAGATATTTTTGTCTCTAAAGATAGTGGGGAACTTGTGAGACCTGAAAAGTTACATTTTTATAAAGTTTAAGATAGCAGTTAACTAAAAACTTCCTCCTCTACTTTCCTACAAAAGGACAATTGTTTTGGACTAACAGAAGCCTAAGTCCCCAAGTCCTGTTTTGCCCAGCCAACTTTAGGATCAGTCTGAAAAGAATAAACAAATCTTTCGAAGAGTACTTGGGGGAATTCAAGCAACAAGCACACCAAGCAATCTGCGTAATCTCAATCTAAGGCTGCCAGTATGAGACATGAACTAGGTTTATGCCGCCTCTTCTATGTGTCCTCAGCTGGTATGGTTCATAATACTGAAATGCAGCTCATCCAGCAAGGTTAGATCATTCATTATTTTTAGCAAGGTAGCTGAGGAATAAAATGCTGGCCTTAAAATCTGGCTGTTTTGTGAGTCTGACATCACTGCTGCTGATGTCAGTTATATTTGTTATCTAAGCACATCAGCCTATGTGTCACCATCATCCTCTCCTACAGTCCTGCTCAGCGTATATGTGAAGTTCACAACTAGTGTGGAGATTTTTTATTTTTTATTTTTTTTTAAAGCAACCCAAATCCTTTTAGAATGATGGGGGAAGTAGGTATCCCAGTCCTAATGCGCTACAGAACCTTGGGAGATAACGTCTCAAAGCAGCCCATTATGTGCTTATGCAGCTGCTTTTCTACAGAACAGCACTATGGTGGGCATTACCTGGCTGCACAACATGATCATATCTTGCTATGAATTGATTCCTTGCCCTAAAGAGGGTTATAGTCAGAACTGGGGCAGCTGTGTGCAGGCTGCTCTGATCATCATTTCTCAGCAGGATTCAGAAGGCAGGGGAGAGAAGGGGGAGGAAAAGAAGTAAAAGAGGGGAGCATCTGTCTGATTAACCCATCAGGGGAAACTCCTAGCAGAGGAGCTGCTAGTGAAACCTAGCTGGGAATTAGGGGCTGAGATGCTGTTGCTGATGGGCTGACTGCTGAGTTCTACTGGGCTTTCTAGGACATCCTTGCCACAGTCTGGGCTGAATCAGAGGGAAGTGGCAAGCTCCTCCTGCCATGCTGGAGGCCTGTGCTGATCCTTCTGTCAAAGAAGGGGGATCCCCCTTCTCTGAGGAACTGGTGTCCTGTGTCCCTCTTCTGCATGGACTACAAGGTGGCAGCAAAGACCATCTCGCTGCGCCTGTGGTCCGTGCTGACAGACATGATCCATCCCGACCAGATATACATGGTACCCGGACGTTCCATCTTCGACAACCTGTACCTGGTTTGGGATCTCCTGGAGCTAGCGTGCCTGGAGGGCCTGTCCTTTGCTCTCCTATCCCTGGACCAGGAGAAAGCATTTGACAGAGTGGATCACAGGTACCTCACAGGCACGCTGCAGGCCTTGGGCTTCAGGCCCCGCTTTGTGCAGGCTCTCCAGGTGCTGTACACCTCTGGAGAGTGTCTGGTCAAGCTCAACTAGACCCTGAAGGAGCCCATCCCATTCAGGAGAGGGGTGCGTCAAGGCTGTCCCCTGTCAGGCTAGCTGTATACCTTAGCCCTGGAGCTCTTTCTCCTGCGGAAGCAGGTGGTGGGGTTGATGCTTTGGGAACCAGCAGTGTGGCTGGTCCTGTCAGCGCATGCTGGTGATGTACTCCTCGTGGTCCAGGACTCAAGTGACCTGGCACAGGTGGAGGCCTGCTAGGTATTGTACTCAACAGCCTCCACTGCCCAGGTCAACTGGGTCAAGAGCTTTGGCCTGATGGTGGGTGATGGGTGGCAGGTGGGCTCACTCCCACCTGAGCTTTGCAGGATTGGCTGGAGCACAGGCTTGCTACTCTATTTGAGGGTCTACCTGTCCCCCACAGACCCCTCCCTGCCGGAGAACTGGCACCAGCTGGAGGCAAGGGTGGTGGAGCAGCTCTGGGAATGGGCAGGGCACCTGAGATGTCTCTCCTTGTGTGGGAGAGTGCTGGTGCTGAACCAGCTGGTCCTGTCAACGCTCTGGCACTGCTTACACACCCTGCCTGTGCCTGCTGAGGTCCTGGTGGGACTCCAGAGATGGGTGCTTGAGTTCTTCTGGCCGGGACGGAACTGGGTCACTGCAGAGGTCCTGGCCAGGGCCTGGAGTTCCATCTTCAGGCCTGGCAGTGATTGCTGTACAGTGTCGGTAGTCACGTGGCATGGGGCCACCTGGGGCGTGCTTTTCTCTGCCACTTCCAGGGGCTCTGTTACGACTGGCAGCTCCTCAGTGAGCAGGGCTTCTCCCTGCAGAACCTGGGAGGACTACCAGATTTCTACCATGACCTCCAGGCCTGGAGGCTGGTCTCCGCCTCCAAGTCCCCCGCAAGTCGCCTAGGGTGCCAACCTGCTTGTTGGGGCTTCCAGAGGAGGGGATCAGCTGGAGGTGCCAACAGCAGAGGTGCCCTAGTTGTGACGGAGGTTGATCCTGGTTGGTATCACCCAAATTGGAGACCTCCTGGACTAAAATAGGTGGGAGTGGGTGGACCCTGCTGTGCTGGCCCAGGGCATGGGTCTACCCACAACATGTACAACCTGCCATCTGGTCCAGGAGGTGAAATCTGCCCTACCTCCTGATACCTTTGCCTTTGTCAATCAGGTCCCAAGTGGCTCCCCACTCCACCACCTGAGCTGGAGGACACCAGATTGGTCCGCTTTTCCACTGTCCACCTCTATACTCTTGGGCACCACACTGTCCATCATGCTGCCCTCACACCAAGTGGTGGGACCTGCTCAGCGAGGGTGTGGCTGGGGTGCCTGTACTCCACCCTCATCCCACGAGCCACCGAGGACCCCAGCTGGCGGCTCCTCCATGGAGCTGTTGCCACAGGCATGTATGTAGTGAGCTTCACAGACACCCATCTCCTGCCTCTTCTGCGGGCAGAGGGAGACCCTGGTGCACATGACCCTTGAATGCGCAAGGCTGCAGCCCCTCCACCTCCAGAACCTCCTCTTGAGGTTCTGGTTGAATTTCACCCCCCACCTTTTTGTTTTTGGTCACTCCATCTGTGGCCTCACCAAGTCGTGGGATCTCCTGGGCAACCTCCTCCTGACCCTGGCCAAGTGGGCCCTGTTTTTGACCGGGAAGGAAGCTCTGGCTGGGAAGGTGCCTGGAGATTGCAGGGCTGCTTTTCTGTCACTTGTCTGTGCATGTTTCCAGGCAGAGCACCAGTGGGCAGTGTCCAGCGGCTCCTTGGATGCCTTTGAAGACCAGTGGGTGTGGCCTGGGGGGCTCTGCTCGGTGTTCTCCTCCGGAGAACTTCTTTTCACATTTTAAACCTATGACCCCCCCACGTCACTCCTACCCTTTTCTTCCTTGGTTGTCCCACCAAAAAAAAAAAAATCAGTTGCATCTTTCAAACTTAGCCCCCACTCCTGTGTGGGGCCAATTAGTTAACTAGATGGGCCTTAAGGCCCATGATCTCTGGAAGATACAAATAGACGGGAGCTTCTGAGACCCAGCCAGTTGATATCTAGGGACACTAGCCCCTTGTGCCACCTGGACTGATGAAGCAGCCCTAACCTAGAGTGGCCCCTGCACTCTCTCTACCCACTGCAGCAGTCAGGCAATGGGGACTGAGACCTGCTGCCACCTGTGACAGCATTCTGCCCCATGGCTGCATGCCTGCCAGACCAAGAGGGGGACTGCATGGCCACCTGGTCTGTGGTATGGGCACCGCAGCAGAGCCTCCTGCGCTTCTGGGCCAGCTGCCAATGGGCTGTCTGAGCAGTGCCACCTGCAGGCCAACTGTGATCATGTCTTCTGGTGTTCCTGCTCTATCACCTGGGCAGCTATCACCCAGATGTACTCCTTGCAGTGGCCCACTTTGAACTGTCAAAGCGTGCACTCCAGGCCCCAAGTGACCAGGTCAGCCACCTTGTCTGCCCTCCAGCTGTGTCCCTGGTGCTGACCCTGGACAGGCTCCTCTGCCTGGGTCTCGCCACTTGTCTTACCTGCAGAAATCCTGTTCCCAGTTTAAAAATGGCAAATTCTCTGATTAAAACCCCCCAAATTCTCTCATTAAAATACCCAAATTCTGTGTTCTTCACAATTGAAATGAAATGCTAATATGTATAGAGAGATTAGTTGAGCAATATTTTATTGATATATTTACAATTATAAAGCAATTTGGAAGCCTACCAGTGCCGCTATCATTATAATTGAAATTCTAAATATCTATAAACTTTGGCATTTGCTTTTGGGTTTTTTTAATGTAGAAAAATCAGAGCTGCCTCTGCCCCCTGCATTCACCAAGATGTGGGGCACTGAGCAGCACTGATATGCCAGTGCCCTGACCCTGCCCTTGCCCCTCGCTCTTAATCCATAGCCCCCTACCCCACAGTCCCATCACTTTCTTGATCTGCAGTCCCTGCTTGCCCCCACTAGCTCCCTCCTGGCTACAGCTCCATCCCAGCACCATGACATAGGTCCAGCTGCAGTTGTCCTACCCACTGCTTTGCGGCTCTGAGCAGTGCCAGCCCTTGCTGTTCTGCTCCCCATGCTGGT